TCTAAGATAAGATTCAAGGTATTACATGATATATGTTATATTAAATGAATCATTATCAATGAAAAATACCTGTAGCTAGACAATTAACTTATTCCGTTAAGTTGATTGTTTCATTTAATATAATATGAATCAAATTAGAATGACAATCTTATCTCATATGTATATGATACAATATTGTAGCTGATCAATCAATTGATTGTCCACACGCAACTGATTATCATGATTATTATCTCATGCTAATGGAAGGTAAAACTTTATCCAATAATTTCATAGTTTCATCATTATAATTTCATTGATGAAATTGATTCCACCTTGAATAATAGTCTTCATAATGAAATCTATTCAGTAATTACTAGATATTAAACTACTGAATCCTCTGTAAGTTAATATTACTATCTCATGAATAGGAATATGAATAAATATGATCAGCATTATGTTTCCGTTGATTGTTATTAATTCTGTTTCTTGATGATAATAATAATAATCTTCAATGTGAAAAGCATATGCTGATATATATGACAATCAACTTTGTATTGTTATGATTAACTTTGATTATGTTTACAATACTGGTTGATTTATCTTTGATTGATAATCATCCGCCATTTTTAACATTCAGTATTATACTGGTTTCCATGATAATCTCATTGATTTACTGATTATTATCATGATAATTGTGTTGATTTCAAGATAATGTTTAAAGATAAACAATTTTCAATTGTTATCGATTATTTATCATTTTTGATAATAATCATATTCATCATCATGCTGTCAGTATATTTGTGCTTTCACAATGATTTTTGATTGTTACAATTTAACACAACTATTATCAAGTGAAAGTTGATAATTGTTATAAACACTGAACAACAATTTAGATTGTGAATGTTACCTCAATCAAATTGAATCAATTTACCAAAGGTGATGATTGATTTTAATCAATTTCCTCTCATGATCAACTATTATTACTTAGAACTGACAATTTTAAGTGTATTTGTCATTTGAAATAGTAGTAAAAAGCAACAATCTAGACCACTTTTCTCTTTCTTTTTCTCTTTCTTTTTTTACCTTTCTTTTTCTCTTTCTTTTTGGCAACAATCTAGACCACATTTTGTTTCGTCTCTAAAGACAATAGGTGTCGTGTAGTATATAAGTATGTGTCCGAGTGTAATGATGATTAGATTAACAATGGTGTTGACTGAAGATATTGTAGTGAATAATATTGTAATGTCATTTAAATTGAGTGATAAGATAGACCGTGTCAAGGTGAAGGAGAGTTTTCCATCAGTTAATTACCCAAAGCGTTTTTCTGGTGGAATATTAAAGTTAGATGGTGGATGTTTATTGATATTTAATTCTGGAAAGATAAACGTCACTATCGTATCCTTTACTCATGATTTCACGGTTGAGTGATTCCAGCACCGCTGGAATATGACGGAAGAGTTTAGAGTCAATTAAATGAACTTGATGTAACATAATTAAGAGGCCCATGTCTTAGTCATATCCTTTACTCTTGATTTCACGGTTGAGTGATTCCAGCACCGCTGGAATACAAGGGAAGAGTTTAGAGTCAATTAAATGAACTTAATGTAACATCATCAAGAGGCCAATGTCTTAGTCATATCCTTTACTCTTGATTTCACGGTTGAGTGATTCCAGCACCGCTGGAATATTAGGGAAGAGTTTAGAGTCAATTAAATGAACTTAATGTAACATCATCAAGAGGCCCAAGTCTTAGTCATATCCTTTACTCTTGATTTCACGGTTGAGTGATTCCAGCACTGGAATACAGGAAAGAGTTTAGAGTCAATTAAATGAACTTAATGTAACATCATCAAGAGGCCCAAGTCTTAGTCATATCCTTTACCCTTGATTTCATGGTTGAGTGATTCCAGCACCGCTGGAATTTTCATGTGAGAGTTAATTAGATGAATTGTCGGTCTTTGTATCATACTTGTAATAATTGTCTTACCCAATAGATAATTATTTCCGTTTTGGACTAAGAATGGTGTAGACAAACTCTTCAGAGATGAAACGCTAGAGCTGAGAGTTGAGGGAGCAAGGCTCACGGGTATAAATAGATTGAATAGAAAAGTCTTCAGTCAGTCTCGATCAGTCTCCAGTTGCTGCTCTTTCTTTTGTTTGTTTACAAGTCTTTTTTCATCTCAATCTTTTTTACTCTGTTGAAATTTGGTGGATAACACGACCAAGAGATACAAGGTAAATTACATGAATATTGTTTGTACGATTCCTGTTGATAATTCATCTCCAAGTTTAGATTATCCTTTAAATTTTGCCGACTTTAGTTTTTCAGTAAGTGACTTTTCAGCTATTTACAATCAAGAGATCAAGAGAAAAATTGAGTGCATCAGCTGTTTCTTTTGATTCCATAACTCGATCCATCAAAGTGAATAATCGTTTGTTTTACGATTCATTGGAAGAAGCAGACGTTAATCTTGTTGAAGACATTTTCAAACATTTTAACAACAGGATTTACCTATTGAGATGAAAATCATCACTAAAACGATAAAAACAGTCTCCAGAGGTAAGGGAGCTTTGGTTCCAACAAAGGATATTAAGCCGAAAAAACCAGAACCAAAAAGGAAACTCAAAATTTGTTATTGTAAATTGTATTTACAAACATTGAAAAAAATTCATTTAAAAGCCGAAACAAAAATCTTTAATTGTAAACAATGTTTCAAGATGATAAATGATCAACATATTCTTGGTCATTTGAAATCAAATGAAATCGAATGTTCAATTGATTGTGATGATTTCACTGATGTAAAAATTTGGTTCATCAAGTGTAATCATCTCAAATTGATAATGAAAAATTGTAAAAATCACTCCAATTTTATGGAGTCGATGAAGAAAAAAATTTCTTTACAAAACACTCTTTTGAATAAAATTTCAAATTAAACTTGAATTATTTCTGTCTTTTTATTTTCTCAAGATGAATAAAAACATTTCACCGATAATGGAGAATTGGCCATCAAAGATGCTCAACTGTCTAAAACTTTATCAAACGATGAAGCTTGAGTTACACCGAATGATGACCTGTATTGACTTGACGGACGGGACTTGGTTGACGGCAGTTAGAGACGGATTTTTCCGTTTTGATAATTCGAATTATTTACAATGTTTTTGTTGTGGGCTACAGGTTTCAATTGACCTTCTACATAAAGACATTGTTCATTATCACGCAATCTTCAGCCCTAAATGTAGTTTTGTTCTCAAGAGAGAACCTAATCTAATTCTTCGGGTCGAAAGCCGATATTCATCGGTATGGTGATCCAAAGATTCTTGCTGATAGAGATGGTGAAACGAGACTTTGCCTTCCGATTTCATCCATCAATCAGACTCAAGATGATGAGATTCTACAAATATTTTCTGAAAAGAAAATTCTTAACCCAGAAAAGATATTTCAGCTCTATCAGCTTAGAGCAAATAGAATCTTTTCATTCGCTGGATGCAGTTTGAACATAAAGTATAAAAATTGGTTTGTCGAATCTGGTTTTTTCTGGACTGGGTCCAACAGAGTTGTACAATGTGCATTTTGTCGATTGGCTATTGATGGAAAACTCAAGAACCACCCAAGCGAGATTCATAATGAGTTGTCACCTGATTGCCCGTACATTGAAGAGGAAAGATTTCTTGTTGAAAGGCATCTTTGTTGTGTTTGCTTGGTACAAACTCATCAAGTATTGTATTTACCATGTAATCATCTTGCTGTATGTGTTTCTTGTGACAATACATTGAGTAGACTTGGTCAAGAGAATTGTCCAATCTGTAGAACAGGAATCGATGGCCGTATCAAAGTAATCAAACCTTAATGATTTGTATTAATTGAATAAATATAATCAATGAGTAAAATTCTGTTTCTTTTAATTATTCACGGTATCGGAAAGATAGTCAAGTGTAAACAGGACCAGGTGATTGAGCTCTTATAGTTAATCAGGTAATTATCTTCAATCTTGAAGAAAAGGAAGATAAAGTGGGTTGGGCTTTTCTTTTAGGGTATAAATATGAAGCCTCTTGAACAGAAATCTCATTCGAGATTCAAACTTCCAACAACTAACTTGAAATGGCTTCCAATGATATTCCTGACTCACCTGCTTCACCAGAACCACCTCAAGTTGTTCAACCTTCGGGACGAGCATCAACAAGTTTTGAGGATCGTTTTCAACAACTACTTTGTGTTGAACTTTCTCCGAAACTTTGGTTAACTGTTCAACGAGCAAAATCTTCAAATGGTGCTACATATATTGATCTTCGTCGTCGAATGGAAAGAGTAATCAATGGAGCTAAAACTCAAATACCAACTAAACTTGGTTTGTTTCTCCGTTACAACGAATACGACATGTTGAAACAAAAGTTGGTGAATCCTCCAGGAGATTTTGAATTGGCTTTGAATAATGGAAGACAAATTACTGGAAGATATCATGGTCGTTTTTTGGAGATACACTTGAAAGCTGGACACAAGGAGTCAAAGATTGGACTTGATTTAAATGAAATTGGTAAAATTGTTTCCCATTCAATTCCCAATCATATTTTTGCTGCAATGCAAGAAATAATTTGGGAATAAACTATTTTACTTTTTATTTATCATGTAATCTCTTTTATGTATCTCATTATATCTTTGGTGGAATAAAAAAAGCTGAGCTCACTTAATTAACCAGTTTCATCCTTTGATCAAAACCTGATTTTCAACAAATATAATAGACTTGGGTTTTCTAGGTGAGGGAGATAGTTTGTGCTCCCTAATTGAGTATAAAAGCTGAGATTTTCTTGTTTTAATCTCATTTATGATACCAATTATTTAGTTAACAATGATTCTTTTATCAATTGTTACAATTTCATTATTAGTACTCATTCTTCTTGTCCTTAGAATTATATTTATTGATATGGAAAAGATGAATAATCTCAAGTTAGCTTGAGACATGCGTACTAAGACTCAGTAAGATTGACTATATAAGCCCAGTTACTTTCTCAATGGAGTCTCAATCATGTTCAAGTGTAGTTACTGTGGACTTTCTTTTATCAAATTCAAGTCTTTGTTAATACATGAGGTAGAATGTGAGACTTTTAAATGTGAAAAGTGTAAAATAAGATTCAAGGACCGAGATACATACATTAACCATGTGATTACCTGTAAGACAATAGTCTCTCCTCTTGGTGATGTAGCTACCTTTAGGTTACATAAATTAGCTTATAAGGGAGTTCTCAAGATCTACGTTAAATTAGGAGAATGGAAATCACTCGAAAACTTATTCAACATGGAAAGTGTCAACATTGTAACCCTTTTCAATCATATACTCGAGAATATTGGATCATTTAAAGCTCAAGCTTGTTTACTCTTGAAATTCGTGAAACAGAAACCAGATGGAGACATTGACTCAACTGATGTCTATAAAGTTACTCAAAGTCAACCTCTGACACACACTTCTCAAGTCGGGAAATTGATTGATGAATGGGCAACAAATTTGGAACTTATCGTTGATCAATTTACTCAACGAGGGAGTGGTTGGGTTTTGTCAACAATCAAAATGCTGGAAATTCGAATTGGAAAACTAAAAGAATACAGTGGTGGTTGCTGTAACGTAAATTTACCTTTAATTTATTTACGAAAGAAAAGTTTAATTTCCCCCAAATGCAAGAAAGATTGTTTCAAATGGGCGGTTCTCATCTCTCTCCACCCACAAGCAAATCATGTTGGACGAATATCTCAGTATAAAAAATTTGAAAAGTTTTACAATTTCAATGACATTGGATCAATTACACCATTTTCAAAGATTAAATTTTTTGAAAAACGCAACAACATATCAGTTAATGTTTACACATCATCAGGAGGTAAAAATCAAAAAGTGGTTCCTTTGTTAGTCAACAAAGATAGAAAAAGAGCTCATGTTAATCTTTTTCTTTATAATGATCATTACTTTTCCATCAGCAATTTCAATGGATTCATGTTCAAAAATAACTCTTGGGAAAGATTTTTCTGTTGTTCATGTTTATCAGGCTTTAAAGAAAAATCAACTTTAACAAAGCATGAAGTTTATTGTAATGATAACTCAGCTCAACGAACAATTCTACCGGGCAGTGAAAATGTTCCAAAAATTTGTGAGTTCACACGTGTTGAAAAAACAATCTCCTACCCCTTTGTTATTTATGCAGACTTTGAAGCCTTGGTAACCAAGAGTGAAAATGTTTTGGGATCCAGTACATTTGAATACCAAAAACATGAAGCTTGCTCTTTCGGATGGGTTGCTGTTGATTGGACTGGAAAAATTTTGTTTCAAAAGTTCTATCGGGGAGAAAATGCTGCCGAAAACTTCATCTCTAGTCTCTACAAAGTATACAGTTCATTAAATGTTGATTTACAACAAAGAATCAAACCACCGATACTAACACCTGAGGAAAGATTAATTTATGAATCGACAACTAATTGTCATGTTTGTTTACAACCTCTCCTCCAAGATAAAGTCTTGGATCACTGTCATTTGACTGGTAAACTAAGAGGAGCCGCTCATAATCTCTGCAATTTAAAATTGAGATTACCAAATAGAATCCCTGTCATTTTCCATAACCTGAAAGGTTACGATGCTCATTTAATCATGAAAGGAATCAAGTCCAATACTGTGAGGAAGATTTCAGTTATACCTCAAAACACTGAAAAGTACATAGCCTTTTTCATGGACGATTTCATTTTCTTGGACAGTTTAGCTTTTCTGCTCTCCAGTCTTGATACTTTGGCAGGAAATTTACCTGATGAACATAAATCTAAATATTTATTACAAATGTTGGTAAGACTTCGGTATACGTCCGTTGAGCTAGAGGTCTGAAATTTTCTGTATGAATAGTCCATATCAAACTACATAATATGTGCGAGTATGGAATTGCGGAAAGATCTAGTTACTGAGTTACAGGGCTTCAAAAATGTATTTTGCCATAGAGGTCTATAGCAAAATTATATTTTTTACTGAACATAAATGGAAACTCGAATTGTGTTTTTACTCACATCACATAAAGTTCATATGCTGAACATCATTTTGTGATACTTTTGTGCGCATGCGCAGAACCGTTTATAAGATATATTGGTTTCAAATTGCGAAATTATGTAAAATCCATAGAATCAGCATCGACTTCTATTATAACCTTTAGAAATTGTTCGAACCACCATATAATTCAAGGTCAAATAGGAGGATACTAAAAAATGCATGAAAAAACATTTAATTTCAATTTTCGGTATAATTATTAGAGCATCGCTATATTATCCTTCTTTGTAATATTAATTCATGATATTGACGTAAGGAGCGCTGAAACAATAATAACAGATGTTTCAATGCTTAATCTGTCATTATTGTTTCAGCGCTCCAACCATCAACATTGTTTTTTTCTCTCTCTCTCATTTCTCACCACTCTCACTCACCACTCTCACTCACCACTCTCACTCACCACTCTCACTCACCACTCTCACTCACCACTCTCACTCACCACTCTCACTCACCACTCTCACTCACCACTCTCCATCTTCAACATCAACATCAACATCAACACCAGTGATGGCATCATCATCATCACCATCACCATATTCCTCCTCATGGAACCATGCTCGACTGGAGCATGAGGTCTGCAGCAGCAAGGAGCAAGCTGTGAGCTTTTGCAAGCAGCAAAGTCTCCTTAAGTCTGCTGTGGACTGCCAACATCACCGGGTCCCAATGAGATTTGATCTCAATCGTGGGCCATTTGGGACATACCGGTGCCCTCGCAATGAGCATCCATCATCGAGGCCATCAACCGTGAGTGCTGCCACAGGAACTTGGTTCGAAGGAGCCAAGTTCCAGCTTGTGGACATCCTCCGGCTGATGTACTCATGGTGTATGGATCACTCATATGAGGAGACTCAGAATGAGGCCCAAGTCTCCTCTAGCACCGTTGCTGAAGTCTTTGCACGGTGCCGCGAGGCGGTGGGCTTGATGTTCCTAGACCATCAGGGACACAGGGGTAAAATCGGCGGCCCTGGCCAAATTGTACAGATCGACGAGGCCAAATTTGGTCGTCGAAAGTACAACAAGGGCAGGGTTGTTGAGGGTCATTGGCTACTGGGCATGATAGCTGATGGCTCTGAGGACTTCCGTCTTGAGTTGTGCCCAGCCAACTCAAGGACCGCGGAAGCCCTCATACCCCTAATCAAGCGCCACGTGTTGGAAGGGTCCATTGTACGGACAGATGGGTGGCGGGCCTACAGGGGGTTGAGTGCTCATGGTTATGTGCACCAGTGGGTTGACCACTCAACAAACTATGTTGACCCGGTGACTGGTGTGCATACCCAGCGCATAGAAGCCTCCTGGAGACCGATGCGGGTCTTCTTTAGGGATAGAAGGGTTCCTAAAGAAGCATACGCAGACCATGTTGTTGAGTACCAATGGAGACGTTGGTGCAAGAAACAACAGGTCCACCCATTTGAAGGTCTTCTCAACGCCATCAGAGAAGCCTTCCCTGTCCATGCTCCAGTCGAAGACCCTTAAGATCAATGGTCCTGAGTTGGAGGACTCGAGAACAAAACCTTGGCCTACTAATATTCTTAGGCCCAGGCTTTGGCACCCAGTAAACAACACCTGTTTGGCCAGTAAAATCCAGCTCTACCTCCCGTGGTACTGGCTGTAATGTAAAGAGCTCTGTAAACTTTAAGTGATTACTATCAACATAACATGGAACACCATTTAAACACCTCTGCACTTAAACGGCGTGGTGCGGCCTCACTCCCCAAGTGGGCGTGGCCTTCACGCCCACTTGGGGAGGAAAGGATCAAAATTATTCTACTGGCGCTATCTGTTCTGTCAATCAAATCTGTAGCATTAGACATGATGTTTAATGGTACACAGAATATAATGCTGAAAATCAGAGTATTTATACACATTTTGAATACCCTCAAAACGAACGAATAGTAAAATATGATGATCATAGCAATGATTGGTCATAATCTGTAAAAGTATCTATAAATACACCTCAAAATGAAAGTTGAAGCTGTGTCATTTATAACACTCATTTTTATGAGCAGAATGTACAAGGTTAATTCTTAGTTAGCGAAAAAACAAACAATCGTTCAATAGATTTCATGATAATCATCACTTTTCCATTGTGAATCAAATTTTTTTACATTTACTACGTTCTATCTTATAAACGGTTCTGCGCATGCGCACTAAAGTGTCACAAAATGATGTTCAGCATATGAACTTTATGATGTGGTAAAACACAATTTGAGTTTCCGTTTATGTTCAGTAAAAAATATAATTTTGCCATAGACCTCTATGGCAAAACACATTTTTGAACCCCTGTAACTCAGTAACTAGATCTTTCCGCAATTCCATACTCGCACATATTATGTAGTTTGATATGGACTATTCATACAAAAAATTTCAGACCTCTAGCTCAACGGACGTATACCGAAGTTTAGCCCAAATGTTTAATGAGAATGATCTCCCTTTACTTTTATCTAAAGGATGTTTACCCTATGAGTACATGGACTCTTGGGATAAATTTAATGAGACCAATTTACCTTCCATTGATAAATTTTATTCACACCTCTCTCGTAAAACAATTGACGAATCAACATATACAAATCTACAAAAAATTTGGGACCATTTCAATTGTCAAAATCTTGGTGATTTTCATGACATTTATTTGAAAGTTGACGTTTTACTTTTAGCTTCAATATTTGAAAATTTTAGGTCAACTAGCTTGAAACAATTTGGTCTTGATCCATGTCACTATTTCTCAACACCTGGATTGACTTGGGATGCAGCTTTAAAAGTGACAAAAACAAAACTTGATTTACTAACTGATATTGATATGATTTTAATGATTGAGAATGGAATCCGAGGCGGAATCTCTTGTGCAATGACAAGACATGTAGTTGCCAATAACCCTCTCTCTGAAAACTATGATGAGGGTAAACCAAATTCATACATTGCCTTTCTTGACGTTAATAACCTTTATGGTTATGCTCTAAGTGATTATTTACCAATCAACAATTTTGAATGGGTAGCCCCTGAATTGTACTCTCAAGTGATTGAATCAATTTTACAAGGCCATGATTCAAGTATCGGATACATTTGTCAAGTTGATTTGATTTACCCGAAACATCTTCATGATCAACACAATGATTATCCCATGGCCCCTGAGAAACTCACTGTCGAAACTGAATGGTTGAGTAATTACCAAAAAAGATTAATAATTAAACTTGAGGGTGAAGGACTGAAAAGATGTAAGACTGAAAAGTTGATTCCAAATTTGAGAAACAAGAAAAATTACGTTGTTCATGAAAGAAACTTGAAATTTTGGTTGGAGAAAGGTTTAGTATTGGATAAGGTTCATTCAATTCTGAAATTTAATCAATCAAAATGGTTGGAACCTTACATTTCAATGTGTACACTTAATCGAAAACAGGCGTCTTCATCATTTGAGAAAGATTTCTGGAAATTGATGGTGAATTCATTATATGGTAAAAGTATCGAGGATAAACGGAAACACTCAAAAGTAAAGGTGATTACAAATGGTGAACAAGCGATCAAACAAATTCGAAAACCAATGTTTGAACATTTTTATATTCTCGATAATGATTTGGCAATAATTAAGATGCGTAAATTTGAAGTCAAATTGGATAAACCGATTTACCTTGGTTTTACTGTATTGGAATTATCAAAACTTAGAATGTATGAGCTTCACTATGATTACTTTTACCCTCGTTATGGTGATAAATTGAAATTAGTTTACACAGATACTGATAGTTTCATTTATTATATTCAGACTGATGATATTTATAATGATCTAAAGTCAATGGGACCAATCATGGACTTTTCCGATTACCCTCAAACACATTTTCTGTATGATCCTGTAAACAAAAAGAAACTTGGAGTCTTGAAAGATGAAATGAATGGTCAAGTAATTGACAAGTTGTTGCCATTAAATCAAAACTTTATGGAATAAAATATGGATCAAAGACTAAAAAGACGGCCAAGGGAACCCAAAAAGCAACAGTTCGTGATGAAATTTGTATAGATGATTACAAGACCTGTTTATACGACAGCATTTTATTCAGACATGATAATCATAGATTACAATCTAGACACCATCAAATCTCTGGAATTAAAACAAACAAAATATCTCTATCACCATTAGATGACAAGAGATTCATTCGTGAAGATGGAATATCAACATATGCTTTTGGACATTATAAAATTGTTTAATAAATTTTGTTTAATATGTAATCATTAACTTTTTTTTACATTTAATAAGTGGAAATTTAAATTATTAAAATGTGATTCCAGAAAAAGGATACAATAGTAACCACATTTGATTGATAAATCACCTTGAAATATATTTTATTATATTTAAAGTGATTCTTACAATTTCTTTCGAAAATAGTTATTTCATCAGGGGATGAGTACCAAATGAGTCGAAATATTCACCATTACCATACTCTGAGACAAATATCGCTGTCCAATGAGAACCTGGTTTCCAGCTAGGATCTAGATTGATTACAATACCAAGGGTTTCTCAAATAGTTCAAAGGTAACTTATCAATTGATAATACACCTTTAAATTGACGAAATTTATTTAGATAATTTTCAATGTCAACTGTCGATAAAGCCATCAATAATCTGTTGTTATATTCCTTGAAGAATTTATTTGAATCACACTATCATATATTCCAAATACAATCATGTGTAATCCTTCAGTCAGAGCTTCAGTAAATTGTATATCAATTCGAGCACTTCCCCTTTTAATCATTGAGAGAGCACCAGAGTCTGTTGCCAAAGTACCATCATCTGTAAGATCAAATACAAACAATGGGTACTTGTCAGCATAATCAGAGTACTTGATATTAATTTATGGCATTCCAAACTCTTGATTCATAGCCCTGAACATGTTGTAATACTCTCTCATATAAATCTTGTTTTTAAAATCAGGTTTGAATGCTGAACTCGGAATCTTGACACCATTAACAACCAATGACATTTCCTTCATGTCTTTATGTTTGAACGAAAATGAGTTTGCCGTAATGTCACCACTGAATGACTTGTCAGTTACGAATCCAATTATTACCTTCCGTGGTAACTGTCCATTGTAAACATTATCGATACTACTGGCAGCAAATCCGTTCACAAGATGATAAGATTTAACTTCATTTCGTTGAAAGTAATATTTAGCCATTGATTTAGCTAAATTTTGTTCAATTGTCATTTGAACAGGCATGAATAACTTTACTCGCCTAATGAATAATGACATTTGTTCAAACTTTAATGAAATTGATCCCGACTTTGTACATGTTAAGCCAAAAGTTGCAGGTGCCAGTTTGAACCGTAAAACAATAGGTACTCCATCAACCAAAAACTTTTCTTGTTGAAACATTGGTGCATGAATTGGTAGAATGAAATCAAATGAACTTTTAATTCGATTGACTCTTTTATCTTCATCATCAATCAATTGACAAGCATCAACAGGTGATTTATACTTGAAAAACAAATCTTCGATAAATGATTGATAATGAAACAAGCTATTACCTGTCGTTACATTCATTACCGAGATAAACATCAAGTTCTTCGAATAATGATACAGCATAGTTATTCACGGGTGTAATTGTATCTGTAGGTAGTATTGGATCTTTGTACTCAATTTTGATTTTCCATGTAAGTAAAGCTGATAGATCCGTATAATGTTCAGAAGAAGGTACAACAAATTCAAAACTTTCGCATCATCAAGGGATCCCACAGGTCGATATTCAACATCATTGATTCAACAACAGTTTGTGTAGGTGGTAATTTGAATAAATCAAGCTCAGCAATAGTGGCTGGTGATTCATTGTGAATAAATTCCATTATTTCTTGTTGAAAATGTCACGAGTTTTCTCTTTGCTTTTCTCTTTGTCTTGTTGACTGGTCTCTTTTACCTGTTGTTTTCTTTTAATTGTTTTCCTTTATATAACCTTTTCTTCCTTTACCTTTTGGATACTCTCAACCTTCTGTTGAAGTTTCGTTAGACCCTTTGATGCTAGATTGGTTACACCAGTCTTGAGTGCTTGTTGAATTTTCGGGTCTTGAGCGACTTTTTTACCAAGTTGTACTCCCTTATCTAAAGCTTCCTGTCCAAGATATTTAATTAGTGGCATAGCAAGTCTTGATATAAAACTACCGAATCCGTACCCTCGTTGGTAACGTGGTGCTCTAACAACTCTATCACCAAATCCAGAACCAGTTTGACTTGAGTAATAATGACTAAAGTCACTATCTTTAGGACAATAAGCTGATGCATATCGATGATAGTTTAGAAAACGCTGTTGGTCTTTATACAACTTTTGTCTTTTTTCTAAAATCTAAACTTAAAAACATTCTTCCACCAGATTCAAATTTTACCTGCTCTCCAGAGTCGTGAGTAGCAAGCACTGATATTTCACCAATGTGGCTTTTTCGAACAGGGTAATATATTCGATGAGAAAATGTACAATATCCGATATCTTTGTAGATGCCACTTGTTAATGGCAGAGCACGTAACACTGGTGATTGAGTCCCACCTACTATATGATCTTGGATAATATCAGTATATAAATACATTAGAAAAATCTTATCTTCCTTGGCTTCAAGGTTGAATGTTTCATTTCTATCAAGAATAATTTTCGGTTGATCGTACATGAAGTCTGCGTCTGGTACATGGTTTATTCCTAAATATTTTTTCACTTCTGTAGTAAAAAATGGAGCATAAATGAATCCACAGTGAGCCTCCTTATTTGCAAATTGATTCATTATCAATACTGTCCTCTACTAGAAGTCGTAGGACCCCACCAGTCAAACTTGGAGTTTCCATACTCACCATCTTTAGGTAATGTTATGTCTGCCGCTGTGTTATTTTGTAAATAATTCCAAAATTCAATACATATGGATTTATTTCAAGATTCTGGTTTTGACATCAACTCAGGGAGTAAAGGTTTTAGGTTTAAATGCTTCAAAACTTTGATTTATCTTTTCAATCACTTTTCACGAGGTTCCGATACAAAAAAACGAACTGTCTGTTCAGGAAGAGAATCGTTCCATTCGGTATCCTGAAATAGTTCATTCTTATCAATGAGCTTGAAAAAACGTGCATACTTTATTTTATATTTTATCTCAGCTTCTCCAACAAACTTGAGTGGAAAATAAACTTCTGTTAATCCAACTTCCCAATCTCCATTCAACTCTAAAGGAGGGTCAATTCGATTTTGAAAAGCTGAAATTGTGTTTTCAGGGTAAAAATTCATTGATCCATTTGAAACTAGATCAATTGTGAATGAGTCTCTATCCATCCTTACTCGTCTTACTTTCGTCCCAGATCCAGGTATCAAACTTTTTTGGCCATCCTTCCCATCGTATCAAGTGCTTATATAATCTTTTCCTTCGATCATAAACACGATCAAGTACTTTGGCCACTCTATACTCTGAATTAGGGTCGTATTTAACCTTTTGGACTTCTTCCGGATAGAAAATTGATGTAATGTTTTCATCCATCAAGTCTTTCAGCTTGTAAACAGTATGACCAGGTGTCTCTTTAACCCTTGAGACTTTAAACACCTCATCAGTCCATTGTTGACTAGCACTTTTGTCACCAGTCAAAGGGTTTAGAGAGATTTTCACATGATCATCTACTTTAATTGTTCTCTTCTTTTTAGGTCTTGATTTAATTGATTTTTGAATTGTTTGAACAATTTCTTGTTGATTGTCTTTTGTCACCAAATTTGGACTTGTTTTAATTGTTCTATGGAATGAATTGTTGTAATTATCAACAATCTTTTGTAGGTCATCAATGTACCTATTTGATCTCTTGTGATAAATATATCTGTATATTCTAGCTCTTAAAGTTCTTATAAATCTTTCAGCTAATGCACATTTTATCGAATTGTCTGTTGTTGTGAAATAATGTACTCCAACACTCGAACAAAAGTCTTGAAACCTTTTGTTCTTAAACTCTTTACCTTGATCAGTCTGTAACTTTTCTGGTTTTCTTCCATTATCAAATAGTTTTCTAAAAGCACCTGTAATTGTTGATGATGATTTGTCTTTAACAGATTCGACCCAGGCAAATCGACTCAATACGTCGATTACTACCAGTAGATACCGGTTATTGTTATTATCTTTAGCCCAATATGACATATCCATCAAGTCAGCTTGCCATTGTTCATCCAGCCTATCAACTAATACAGGTAAACGTGAAAAGTTCTTTTTTCTTGATCGAAAATTTGTATATGTCTCTTGGCCCTGTAACCATTCCTTGACAAAATTTACATCAATACTTGGATCAACTCTCTTGACAGCATCAAATAGTCGATTAACTCCACCAAAACTTCCATTGTTGTTGATGTCATAATAAACGCTCTTTAGAATTTCTTGACGCTTGTCCATTTTATAGTTGAGAGTGATTTTTGTTTATTTCTCTTTTTCAATGGTCTCTTTTCAAACTCCTTTATAGCTTCTTTGAACGTCTTTTTATATTCTTCTAAAGGTGGAGGGTCAATTGGTTTTTCAACAACTTCTTGTACTTCTTTTATATTGTTTTTAAGTAATTGATATTCTTTTTCTGGAATTAACACCATCTTTGATATTGTGTTCATTACATGTACTTGTTGATTAACTTTTCACCAAAATAAGAAAGTGCAGGTAACAATAATGCTGGAAGAAAAGCTCCACCTGTTTGATAAACAACTTCTTTACGCTTCTTCAATGGTACTCCCGATTTCCTTGATAGTAATCTTATTTGAGTTTTATACTTTTCAATTCTCTTTCTCTGTGTAGCATTAATTGGTATATTACCGTTTAATGTGTTTTTACTAATATCAGAAATTGAATAGAAAATACAAGACTTTGCTTTTTTCAATAGTTTATTTCTTCCAGTCTTTGATTTCTCATGAGCTAATCTCTTTAATGTCGGAAGACATTTGATTACTCCTTCAATCGTCATGTTGATTATCGTTGAAACATCATTTTCTTTTATATAAATTATAAAGGGTAAACAATCATTGGGTCATCGTTTTCATTGAAATTGTTGGCCAATAATCTCAACTTTTCCGGTGTATCAGGTTTTAAATCAAAGAACAAGTATGAATAAGGTTTCGCAGTTGCATCTTCAAATACTCTTTGTAACTTTTTTATCTTTGATGGAAACATTTGACGAGCAATGTTTGAAATTATCGATTTATCTCGAGGGTTTTTAAAACATACAA